TTTTTTGGGCAAGCTTCCGCTTCTTACTGTGTTCGAATGGACCCAGTGAGGCGAGGACCACATCCGCTTCGCCCTTAAACCATCAGCGACAGCCTTAAAGGGCGAAGCCTATATGAAATAGAACGTTGGTTACGTACTGTAACCCCAGATTCTATGAATATAGGCGTAGCCCTTTAAGCGTCGGGCCTCACTGGCTCCTAAATGGCTGAAGAAAAAAGCTATTTTGGGAGCCGATTTCCCGCTCTTAACGTAATTTATACGGACCGGGTGGGGCCCACACAGCAGGTGGGCGTGGACTAATTTTTTTTTCAGTGCTTATGCTGCGCATAACGGGATAAACCATCAGCGACAGCCTTAAAGGGCTACGCCTATATTCATAGAATCTGGGGTTACAGTACGTAACCAACGTTTTTCAGCAAGTTCTACAGCAATAAGCATTCACACTGCATTTTTGCAGGAAATGCAATTTCTCTAGTTCTATTTAACATTTAAATCATCGTTTATGGGTGAGAGACATCAACATACCTGAAGAATCTATGCACTAAAACAAGCATTTCCAAATCCTTTGACTTCAACTTTCATTTCTAACTTCTCAGTATTGTATTCAAAAATTGTTAAAGTGGCATTTTTGTACATTTTCAGGTAGGTGGTTCCACATGGCCAATTAGAAGCACGATCTTAGGCCTTCTAATACGAGACATGATCATGTGTTTTAGAGAAAATACATAAAAACACACGTGGAAAGCATTTGAATCCGTTAACCTTCCCCACCATCAGCCATGAGTCACACACCTGTAGCAGAAGCTCCCTGAGCCGCCGCAGCTGGGACTCCAGCTGTTTGTTGTGGTCCTCCAGGATCTGCATGCGGGTCTCCAGGCGTGTTTTGTGTTGGCGGAGGACCCGCGCCTCAGCCAGGAGCTCTTCGTCCTGCGCTCCTCCCGCTGTAGGTGAGCCCAGCTCTCCAGCCTCCGTCAGCATGGGCACCGAGGCCGCCTCTTCGTGTTTCCACTTGAGCCGCCTGTATTCGCTTTGGAGCACCCTGAGGAGCCACGGGAGAGGGAGGCGAGGAAGAGTCGTTTATTTAGCAGAAATGAAATAAATCCAGCTACCTGACAAGTTTAAACATCGAGCTACGTTCAGTCCATCATGTTTCTAACTGAAAACATGGAGGGTTATAGAAAAACACAAGGAGGCTCTAAATGACAGAGTTTTAGAAACTTTGCATCAAGGAAGAGTTTCCTCTTAAACTGCAGCAACCAGCCTGAGCTCAGTGGGTTTGGAAGATAAGGTGATGCAACACCATGGTAAACACACTCCCATCCTAAACACTCACATGGAATTCAAATTAGGCATAAGTTTTCAGAAAACAGTAAAGACCCTCAGCTTTAACATTTAGTTTTTATACAAGTTTAAGCTCAGATAGTAAAGTGTTCAGGTGTGCAAGTGCATTCCAGGTTTTGTTTCATTTTATGCACCTGCAGATAAACATCAAATGTATTTTTCCTTCTTTTGAACGTTGCAGTTTTTCAAACAGCCAGATATGGATTTCTGCAGCAAACTTCGAACACAATAATTCAAAACCAGTGTTTACGAGCATTCTTTATATAAATATTAGCTATGTAAATGAGTTTTTTAATCATTTTTAAGCTAATACATTGGACCCAGAGACTTCAAAGTAGCTAAAACTATTTATTGTGTGAATGTTTATGAAGCATTCACACTATTGAGATCTGTTTTTCTTCCGTACGTTTATCAGCAACTTTCTCGTTCCACAACTTTTGTGCCATTTCAACAAATCATAAATCAAAACATTCAGCTCGTTCTGGAGAATGACCTTTGGCATTGGTGCACTTTAGCTTTTGGAAATATTTAGCCTTTTCTGACATTTTTTTCCTCATAGAAATGGAATTGAGCTCATTTTACATGCTTCATATCTTTAGAGCTGTTTACAACCTTTTACTGCTCCTTTAATATTTTGTTCTGCTTCAGCTTCTTTGTGCAAATTTAATATTTTTTCAGTTACTTTCAGCTAATTTCAGCAGTTTTGTGATCCTTTCCGCTTCTATCTACTAACTACAACATTTTGTGCTTCTATCTTCTTTCTACTAATTTCAGCTTGTTTTGTGTCTTTCAACTTATTTATGCGTTTCAGCCTTTTCTGCCATTTCAGCTAATATTTAGCTGTTTTATGCTAATTTTAGCTTTTACAGCTATTACAACATTTTTTGCACTCATTTCAACTTTTTTCAGCCTAATATAGCTAAAAATGCGCTCTCTTCACTTCCTTCTGGTAATTTAAGCTTCTTTTTGCTATTTTTAATCATTATTCAGCTGTTTGTTTTTTGTTTGTTTTTACTACTTTACAGCTGTTTTCAGATTATTTTTACTTTTTTGTGTTTATTTCTGCTTCTTTCAACTTAATTAGGAAAATGTGTTTTTTCTGCTTTATTATGCTAATTTAAGTTTGTTTTATAGTTTCAGCTACCTTTTTAGCATTTTTAGCTAATTTCAGCCGTTTTCAGACAAATTCAAGTTTTTGTGGTAATTCCTGTTACCTTCAACTTAAATAACTTCTTTCTACTAATTTCAGCTTGTTATGCTCTTTTCAGCTTTTGCTATGTTTAAATTATTTCAGCTATTTAGCTGTTTTCTGCTATTTTTTCTGCTTTTTCAGCAAATTCCACATTTTTTAGCTAATTTCAGCTTTTTTAACTTCTTTCTGGTAACTTAAGCTTCTTTCTGCATTTTCAGCAACTTTTCAGCAATTTTTTTCCTGGTTTCAGCCTTTTTAAAGCTAATTTCATAATTGTTGTGCTCATTTCTGCTTATTTAAACCTAATATGAATACTTTCTGCTTTCTTCTGCTAATTTAGGCTTGTTTTTCCTTTTCAGCTAAAATTCAGCATTTTTGTTTAGACAATTTCAGTTGTTTTTTTGCAAGTTGTTCAGCAATTAGCATTCACACTGCATTTTCTCAGGAAATGCAATTTCTCTGGTTTTTATTGTGTTTGCTTTTTTAGGCAAAAACTGATTTAATGTTCAGATGCACGTCACATCATGACCTTAAATGGACACTTTGTGGGGGAAACTAAACTCGGACAAGGTTTCAAACACCCAAAGGGCACAGAGTGTGTGTGTGTATGTGTGTGTGTGTGTGTGTGTATGTGTGTGTCATCATTTTGCTGTGGGTTTAGAAAGGTCACACCAAAATGGGGACAGGAAAATTATTCATATGAATCATTGGCATAAAGGATGCCTCTGGTGACAAATTAAGTGGATATAGGAGAAAATGAATTAGCTTCATTTATGGGAAAAACATGTCTGAACCTCAAGCAAAGAAAATCACATTAAAACATTCATATCTTGTGTTTCCGTCATGCTTTTCACACCAGTCAGTTGGTAACAAGCTTTTTTCCTCCCCTCTCTGTCGGGCACAAACTGTCAAACCGAAGCATCATTTACAAGCAGCTTCATGTTATCGCAGTATTTTACACACTTGCCTGTCAGCTGTGTATTCAGAGAGTTTTTATTTCCTTAAGGCGGTTCTAAAGGTTATAGAGCTGCAGTGGGCTCACTCTCAGCTAGACATTTTTTTTCTAATGGCACAGAGACTGAAAATAGTCCCAAACCCTCAAATAAACTCCGACATATTTGTGTTTGTGTTTGTGTGGATCACTCCCTGAACCAGATGTGCATGCATCTGTGTGCCTGTTAGTGAAACTTATAGATAAATAAGCTCAGCAGTGAAAGAGTCTGACACAATTGGTTCACTTTTTTGCCTTGTGCTGTAACATTCTCAATCATCTGGCATGGAAGGACTTTTATTTGTATTTGTTTTGCATGCAAACAAACATTGAAGGGGTGTTAGAGTCACAGCACTTTAATTTCTCAGCTACAGACCTGTTCTCGTTCTCCAGGCGGGCCAGGGTGCACTGGAGCTGCTCCTTGTCCTGATGCTCCAGGTGAGCCAGCAGCATGTGCTGCCCACAGGGTGAATCGTGGTCCAGGGCCGGGCTGGAGTGACGCAGGAGGTACTGATCTTCATCCCTGAGTCGCCCCACACAGGAGACAACACACTGAGCCACCAGCAGCACGGCCACAAAGCAGAGCAGACGAGCCAAGGCAAGGCGAGCAGGGCGAAACACACAAAGCAGGACGGGATCCTGGGCCTCTGAGCTGGGCTCACAGTCCAAACACTAAACAATAAACTCAGCCCACTAAACCGCTCAGGTTTAATAAAACTGGAAGGTGCAGATTAAGCTGCAGCACAATAAATTGTCCCAAAACTATAAACACTGCAGTGACAGAAACGGTAATGTGCAGATCTATTCCAGCAGACCTCAGGCTGCTAAACAATAAATAGATCTGTCAACGGCTGGCATTTATTGTCTTAAACAGTCAGTTATTTTCCAGTTTATGTGTGATAGTAATGCTTTTGCCTGCAGAAACAACTTCATTGGTCTAAAATCAAATAAAGTTATGATTTTACACCATGGTAAATTTATAGGTTGATATCTCTGAATTTATGACCTGTCGTGTGTTTTTCTTGCTCTGCGTTCAATATTTATTGTAACTACAGTAATATCGCATATAATTCACTACAAAACTTACTGCCATTTGTCTGTTTACTGTTAGGTTTAATCAGAGAAATGTTCATGTAGCTTAACTGTGACCTGGCTCATGGTTTTGATTATATTCACAGCAGCATGCCGATACTTGTTTCAAGTTTCTCGGCGAGTTGAAGTTGATGCAGTTACTCTTAATGTTTTTTGGTCTGCATTATAAAAACAGAAGCGCAAGACAAATGAAGAGGTTTGAACTATCAAATTAGGTCGGAGTAATTATCCTTTAGGGTTTTGGTCACGTTAAGATCGTCATGAATTTTGACTCAACGTTCAGAGAGAAGAAGCTGCTCCGAGCTGCTTAAAGACACGTAGCACAGCTGAGCTGCTGTTAAACTGCTGCTCGTTCTGATACAACAAAAACTACTGCTGATAATCTGGTGTGTGTGAGAATGGCTTTAAGATCAAAAAGGTTTTGCAATCAGTGGTTAAAATGTTTCAGAGGCCATTTGATTAACTTGTTACAGCCAGTTGTTGTGCATGCGTGGGTTTTCTCCGGGTGCTCCGGTTTCCTCCCACAGATTAAAAACACGCATGTTAGGCTGATTGGTGACTCTAAATTGTCTCTAGGTGTGAGTGAGAGAGTGAATGGTTGTCTCGTTTGTCTTGATGTGTCCCTGTGATGGACTGGAGACCTGTCCAGGGTGTCCCCCGCATCCCGGACAGTTACTGCTGGACATGGGCTCCAGCTCCCGCAATCCAAAAGGAGAAGTAGGTAAATCAATGAGATGGATAGATAGATGACAATAAATGTTTTTACTGTCTATAATGGTGAGAGTTACAGAATAGACAGGATTTACAAATCTTTTTTATTTTATTTTTTACTGCACATATCTGAAAAAATTAAAATGTGAAAAAAAAAGTTCACGTTTTTTAATTACTCACTTCAGAAAGTGAAACTCGTATTATAAAGCTTCATTACACTGAGTGAAACGTTTCAAGCCTTTAAAGTCAAGTCACGTCCTCTGGACAGATTCTTCTTGTTGAAATGTTTCATCTTTTATTCAGAAGTATCTGTTAGTCACTGATGAAGTCAAGCCTTGGTTTTTATGTAATTTTGATGATTATGGCTTACAGACATAAAAAAATAAAATAAAATTGTGGCTCAGTAAATAAGAATATTGTGAAGAGGGTCAGTATTGTGAACTCCTGGTGTCACACCCTAATCAGCTGATTAACTCCTGGACATGAGCTACTAATGTCTCATTCCTCAAGTCCAGCCACTCCTGAACCAGAGACAATGTCAGAAGCATCTTACCTGCTGAGAACAAGAACTGGACTGTTGCTCAGTCTGACATCTTTCCACAAAAAGAAACTGTCCTGATGACCTGACTGACCATTAATGGATTTTGTACCTGGATGATTGAGCATGAACTTTGATGTCCTGAACCACTTTGGCTGTGGCTGCCTGCCTGGGAGGAGTCGACAGGGGACAGGACAGTCCCCAGAAACCATCTTATCACCAGCAAACTGGTTGGTCCACTAAAGGAGTGTACTGCTTAGTGGGGAAAACAGTTTACTTGGAACTCCTCAGACTGATGAAGCCCTCTGGATAGAGGGTGAAACGTATTTCCACAAAAAAAAAAAACCTGTCCAGATGCTGATTTCATTTTCCAGCAGGACTTGGCTCCTGCCCACTGTGACAAAGGTACCAAAACCTGGCTGTGGAATATTCAAATTTTCTGAGACAGCGGGTATTTTTAAATTATTTGTAAACCATAATCGTCAAAATTACAAAAAATAAAGGCTTTAATTATGTTACTCTGTGTAATGAATCTATATAATATACGAGTTTTTCCTTTCTGAAATAAATAACAAAAGAAATTTAACTTTTTCCACAATATTCTAATTTTTAGATGCACTTGTATTGAGATAAATTACTGAATCCATCATGGATCAGTTAATGGATAGATTAATACATTTACTGCACTTTAGAGTTGTATTTTGGCTAGCAGCATGAGCAATATCAGAAAAAGAATGGTTAGAATATAAGGCCAAATTAAAAGTAAATATTATAATATCAGAAAATACTTGAATTAAAGGACAATGGCCCAACTTTAAGGTTTTACTTTAAACTAGTCAGTACCTAAACTCACTGCACACAATCTCAGATTTTCTCCGTCTTCTGTTTGAGGCCTTGAGCAACAAGAAAGTAGAAACCCAACAAGTAAGACCCAAGAGTCAAAACTGGCTCCAAGTATTGTGCAAGTGCCAGAAAACTTATTAAATATTGATGCAGTTTTTCTGAACATGTGAAACTGTAAACAGTGAAGAACACAGATGAAACTAAACGCCTAGTTGTCCTTGAAGGAATGCATATCACCCATTTATGCTCGAGTTTTAAACTAAAAATCTGTGTAGCTGTTTTGGCCACTTCCTGAAAATAATGTTACAGGTGGTCTCGTTGCCAGACATCTTCCTCAGAGAATGTGAATGACGTTCAGCTACTGCCACACCCAATTTTAGCTCAAAATCTGTAAATAAATGACAACGTTATAGCCATTTATGTGTTGGATAATGTCAATTAGCTGTGGTGGCCATCTTGAAGTGGACTGACTTCAGAAGTCAATCAGTTATAGAGGTATCTCCAGTTAATATTTCCTGAAAGTTTGATTAAAACCCCTCTAGTGGTTCATGAGATAATTCGCCAACAGACAGAGTTGCCTCCGTCTAGTTAATGGCAAAACTTTAAACAAAGGTCTTATACAATCTGTTAGCACTCAGAGTACGTGTTGGGGATCAATTTGAGCTACTACGACAAAAACTTTTAGCTCAATGTCTGTAAAACCGACTTGAGTTACAACAATGTTTGTTGTTTTAAGGTCATTTAGCCGTGGCAGCCATCTTGAAAGTAGCCAACTCCATTTGTAGAAGTACATACAACAATTAATTTCTGCCAAATTCATTAAAATCTGTCCAGTGGTTCAGGAGATTTTTTGCTCACAGACTGACACACAAAAAAGATTTTTTTTTTTTTTAAATCATTTCACCTTTTCTCAGCAGGCAGCAACAATTATTTTGCTTTAAATTTTAAAAAGACGCATCATTTTTGCCCTTTACTCTTAGGTCTTAATTGAGTATTTTTAATAAAAGCTTTTGATTTGGTGCAATTAAAGTTGTGTAAGCTCCTTTAGAGGATTATAGTTTACATTGTATAAATTAGCTTGTAAATGCAGCTTTGTTGAATTCACCAGTATATGTGCACTGTTACCTAATATTTGTTTAATTTCAGCACATTTTAGAGCGGAGTTCAACCCTTTCTACGCTGCTTTCAGGTCATTTAGACGACTGGCTCAACAACAGAGAGCGTCAATTATTTTCAGCTCTGTTACCTGCCAATCACAACGGTGAGCTCAGAGAGGCGCATAAAGGTGGAGGCTGAGGGCTGTGCTCCCAGACAGCACGGCTCAGGAGAGAAAACAGTTTGATAGCAACCAAAACAGCAGCTGGAGGCACAGATAGCACAGCGGCACGTAGGAAGCCGTACAGAAATTTTTAAAAAAAGCACGGAGGCAATAAAGGCACTGACAGACAAAGAGACAGGTTTGGAAAAAGAAAGAAAGAAAGAAAGAAAGAAAAAGAACAAGACCACAAGAACAGAAAGCCATGCTTGCTCCTCATACGGAGCATGTGCAGGATGCCGTGCACACAAACCCCTTCTCGGGAGCGCAGTGATGTATTGACGCACGTCATGCAAACGTTAAAGGCAAACGCCCTGAGAGATGCATTTAGTGACACAGTTCCATCCAAGCAGCTGCAGCTGAGACGGCAACAAAAACATTGTAAGCAGGCCTGACGCCACAGTACAGGCGGCGGGTGGAAAAGCTGTGGTGTTGCTGCAAGAAACACGCCCTCCGTGTGGTGAAGTGTGTTGACATACAATGACCAAATTAGTTCTCTGCATTTAACCCCTCACACGTGAGATGCACCAGGTGGAGCAGCGGGCAGCTATGTAAGCACCTGGGGAGCAATTAGGGATTGGGTGTCTCACCCAAAGACACCACGACATGTGGGCATGGCGGGGAATTGAGCCTGTGACTTTCTGGTCCCAGGTCGGCTGCCCTACCTCTACACCATTTCAGCCCCTTTGTCTCTCAGAACGGGGGGGAAAATATCTGAAGAGAAATAACGAGCTCAGTTTGTACTGCAGAAGACATGTGGAGCTCTAAAGACCCAGTGGAGCTTTGTGCAGAGCTGCTGGACTTTAAAGTGAAATTTCAGACATTTTGAGGTGGAGCTCTGTGAAACATGTTAATTAAGAAATAACATCTTGCCTGTTGTAGATTTTTCTCTGAACAAACTTACTTCGGAGAAACTGTTTTTATCTGACCAGATCAACGTTTTTGTTGTCAGCCACAACAGAAAAGGAGTAGATGACGCCATCACTACCACTGTACATGCACAGATGAAAGCAGTGTGCACTGTGGGGTTAAAGCCCTGAGCATATGTGCAAACTGCACCCAACTTCAACACTTTGCAGGAAAAACGGAAAAGGAAGTAGCTTGTTTTTTTCCAGATGCAGCTTGAATGCTGAGAGCCGCATTGGGCGCCGTACAAAAAAAAACCAAAAAACAAATTATGGCTGCAGAGTGATCATTCTGTTGGTGGAAACACACACAAACGTCCTTCTGAAGACGAGTGGATGTGCCAGTGTGCAAACTGCGCTCAGTACACCACAAACACACTGAATGGTGTGGAAGACGTGGTTTCCTGTTATACCAGGTGTTACTGATACCATAGACACTGTTTCATCAGTCCAGCCTTTATAAACAGCTATCTACAACAGGTAAGATATTTTTTACTCAAAGCCTTTCCACAGTGTCATACTCCAAACTAACTTATCATTTTCAAGTGCAATGAAAGAGGAAAAAATGGTTTATGGCAGCTCTACAATAAAAAGTATGGACACAAATACGTAATTTCAAGCTGCACTAAACCTTCTCCACTCTCGGTGTTTTACAGTAAGGCGTGACTGTCTCATTCACATTATTATCCCTCACTGCTGCACGCTCTCGGCCCACTTCTGCACAACCAGAACCATGATTTGTAAAATGCAGCCACAGACCCTGATGGCAGCAGGCATGTGGACGATGGAGGGGCAGAGTGTGCAAGCTGCTCACTGGGGGTCAGTCTCATTATGTGGCTGATTATTTATGTGATTACCCGATCATTCCCTAACAGTCAAACATGCACGTGCGAGCCTGAGAGCACACATAAACACAGTGGGGGGGGGGGGGGGGGGGGGTTGCTGTGTGGGGGTGGCTGCATACTCACAGGCTTTCATCAGGAGAGAGGCTGTCCGTGAAGAACGAACAGTTCTGGTTCTCCATTTCTGCCAGTCTGTAAACACACAAAAAATAAGAAAGAAAAGTAAATCAACAAATACCCACAAAAAACTGAAAACTGGACAAAATCCACACAGCAGAGCGAACAGTTTTTATCACTTACTGGGTTCTGTTTCAACAAACTTCTCGTTACAGCAAATAAGTTCAACAGTTTAACTTTAGGTGGTGTTTGAACGAGACCTCGGCAAACATCTGGATAACAAGATGGCAGAATGGTTCTTTTTCGTTCCTCGGAGTGAAAGCAATAAAAATATCCACCAGGACAGAGGATAAAACCACTGAGCAGTGTCCACGAGCCCACAGGCAATAAAACCCTTTTTGAAAAGTGCTTTTCAAAAATGTAAGCCTGTGAGGGCGCCAGGAGTAGCGTGGACGCTGCGCTGCAAGTCATTTCATTTGGAAACAACAAATATAAAGTGCTGCGATGCAAAGGAAGGTTTTCTAGTCTTTAGATGGTATAAATAAATAAAAACCAGATGAAAAATGTCAAAACTTGTGTGTGTGTGTGTGTGTGTGTGTGTGGGGGGGGGGGGGGGGTTAATACATACATTTAAACAAAGCTTTAAATTATATCATGCATGTTGAGAAAATTTGTTGATAATGTACAAAAATAAAATTTGAACAGATTTATTTAAATAATATTGTGTTTTGGTGTGCATGTAGTAGAGCTGAATTTATCATGCCTACACTTAGAACATTTTTACTGTCTAGGTATCCATTTATTATATAACACCTATTTATATTTTTTTTCATTAAAAAAATAGATAAAAAACCTCAAAGTAAACATGGCCAGAGCCAAAACTTTGCCAAAAAAAAAGAAAAAGAAAAAGAAAGAAGTATTTCCCTGCTGGAATAATTTTTATTGATAATGTAACTGTTAAGAGACTAAACATTTATCCCAAAACTTAAGTTTTTGGAGTTATACTAATTTATTCCACAATTAATTTAGTAAAAGAACCACAGTGCTGTAGCACTGACCAGTTGATAGCTTGTCGAATAGAAATCTATTTTATATTGTTTGATTTTCCTTAGACGTTTTGCCTATTTGCTTCAAATTTGACTCTCTGGGTCTGGAGTGAGTCTTTGTCTCAAGCCCAAGAGTTCAAGTATGTCCAAGTCTTGTTCACAAGTGATGGCAGGAGGGAGACGGACATGGATCAGTGGATCTATCCAGCTTTCTGAAGTAATGAGAGTGCTGATCTGGTCTGTTGTGGTGAAGAAGTTGAACCAAAAGGCAAAGCTTTCCATTTACTGGCCCATCTATACTCCAGCCCTCACCTATACTCATTAGGTGTGGAAGAAATGAAATCCTGGATAGAAGCGGCTGAAATAGGCTTCCTTCATAAAGCTCCATTATTTGAATGAAGCTCAGAACAGAGTTGTTGCTGAGTCACATCAAAAGAAGTCTGCTGAGGTGGTTTGAATATCTGACCCCTCTGACTAGAGGAATTATGAATCCTCTGGCCTGGGAACACCCTGGGATCCCTCAAGGAGAAGCTGGGAAATATTGCTGGGGAGAGTGATGCTTGGTGTGTTTGGTGTTCTTTCCTGAATCGGTTTCCTCCACCACCGAAACATGGACAGAAAATTGATTGTTCACATGTTCAAAGATGTATTACTTGATCACTGCTACACAGTTTTTATTTCAGCTGTACCAATCAATCTTGTCAGATGACCTCGCAGTCTCACAGTCAATCTGCTAGATGAAGGAACGCCAGTTTCAGCAAAACTTGTGACTGATTTATTCATCATTTCTCCCAATCAGTCCATCCAACACAGAAACAGCTTAATAAATACATCTTAATATATCATTCGGAACAAAGTAGGGAAAAACTTTGGCGCCAAGATAAATGACCAGTCGTCCTTATATCTTTGTGTTACGTATGTCTCTTGGTCATGACTCCTTGCAGTTTACAACATCAAAAGCTAAGCTGTGCAACTCTTGATACAGACCATCATTCATTCAATAAACCTTTATTTAAACAGATAAGTCACATTGAGCCTTGAAGACTCATTTACAAGTGAGACCTGTTTGAACAGACAATAAAAAGTGGTGAAAAATGACACATAGGGTTTGGAGACAAAAATAATTCCTAACACTTTTAATCTTTGGTTGAAGGTCAACAGCGTGATAATGAAAAAAATCTTGCACACTAGCACATAATGACGCTGGCATTTTGTGTGTATGTGTGTGTGTGTGGGGGGGGGACACGCAAAAATAGTGAGCAGTCAGAGACAACACACAGAGGCACTGCAGAGTTCAGATAAAATCACTCAGTTCAAATAGTTCCCTCTGGAGAGATCTGTACACTCTCGGGGAATGCCAAGGATGACCAAGGGCGAAGCCAAAGAGTCCTGAAATGAGGACAGAATGTTTATTTAGCTGGCCTGCTCTGAAAAGTCCGTGGAAATTCCTTGGTAGGAGTGGAGGGAGGGGCAGAGCTTCAGGTTTACCAAAACTTCCAGGCGAGTTGAGATAAGATGGCCTGTCAAGGCTAGTCAGGGAGCCAAATTCAGATAAACAGAATTGTTTTGGGGACAGGCAGAACTTTAATGACATGAGTCTGTGTCGGTCCACTCGGTTCAGAAACGTCCAAATTAAATGGCCACACCAATGGACCATATCTGAGAATAATCCCCGAGATCTGATCCATCCTGCCAAAAGCATTTAAGTCTGGGTGCTCGAGACACGAACCAAGCCATCATAAAGCAAGCAACCTGATTGGGTCCAAATTTGCTGCCAATGACTTCCTTGATTTTTGATAGACCAGGAACCAGATGAATCCAAAAAGCAGGAACCATTTATCATAAATCCAATTATATACGTGTCCTTAAAATCCACAAATGGCAGCAGAGATAGACACGTCATCAAGTCTTCCAAGTCGATGAGATATCCAGCTGTGTGCGTGCCAACAGAGCAAATCGGCTCACCTGAAGCCTGTCTTCTCTTCAAAGAAATGTTAATATTTGTGTAGAGGGACCACCTGATCAGAGCAAAAGCAAAGCAGAGAAGGAGAGGAGGAGAAGATGTCCACCCTTGACAAGAGCAAGTGTTGACCACAAAGATCACTCTGTTATACCTTCACTGAAATGTTATAGTAAGCTATGGTCTTGTCTTCAAGGTGACAACGTGATATGAAGTGAGCTAGCTAAACTCAGTCATACAAGCTTTTTTTTTCCTCCTTCACCTATGACCTCTTCTCTGGAAAGTCGTCTAATGCTGGCTGGGTTTTTATATTCATAGTTCCATTATGGTGGAACAAAGTACCAAATGTTATCAGAGCATGGACATGTTTTCTACCTTCAAGAATCACTCAAAGACTCCTGTCTAACTTGTACAAGTGAAAATTGATCATAGTTGCTAATTTTTCAGTAGTTTTGGAGAAAAGGGTCTGTGGAAAACCTTGGCTAAGTTGGCTAAGGCTCAGTGGGTCAATCTACCCTCTATAAATCAGACTGATTGGATTCATGCTTTCTTTTGTTAAAAATTAAATAAAAAGTGTGCATTGTTTGTCTTTGTTAGAAATAGATTTGGGATTATTCTTATTGTTGGTGTCATTTTCACTTCTGGCTCCTTCATACACAAGAATACAAATTGTTTTTAAAACCCTTAAAAGAACATGAGAAAAAAAAATTGTCTTAAGTGTTTCAAAAAAACGCAATTATCATTTGAAATGACCGAAGCATATGAAAGAAACACATTGTCAAAGTGCAGGTTTCTTCTTCGAGCATGACAATTACCCATCAAGAACAACCAAGGCTGAGATGAAACGGCACTACCAGCTCATGTATGAACATAAACACTCAAGCTGCTTAGCAGAGGTCTTAAATCTTAGCAGCCGCCCTCCTCGTACTCAAAGACTCTGCTGCATCATCTTTTGCAGAGTCGTCATCTAAAGGAAGAAGGAAAGAGAGCGGGACTGGTGAGTGATTTAGAGGCTGTCAGGAGCATCCTGGCTTCATCCTATTTCTTTCAATTTTCCAATGTGACCACAACTCTGAGCAATGTAGGATTTATCCGTGTCCGGTAACAGGAGGCCGAGCTTGTGAACCCAACTGCTTGTAATTCAATCCGCAACACTATTCATCAGGAAGGTTCCTAAAAGCTCAAGGCTGAGTCAGGGACAAGAGCAGATGAGAAAGGAAAGGGCAGAAACTAATAGGATACAGTGGTGTGTGTGTGTGGAGAGAGTTTGGTGTGCACACACTGGAGTTTAGCTTTGTGAATGAATGTAATAGGACATGAAAGGAAATGAGAAATGGGAGAGAAAGCGAGGGCCAGCGAGGAAAAATCCTATCTGAGCTCAGAGGTTTTTTTCCCATTATTATCTTTTACTCATCTATGGTCTATGAGATGTCAAAGCATTGGCGATGATGAAAGGACCAAAGTCCTGCATCAATGAAGAGGGAAGAGCAGAACAAGAGATGGAGATATATAAAGGAAAAGACACAAAAGCCCATGTCTGTGTTTGACATGAATACAAATTTGAGTTTTGTAACCTTAAATATTAAATAGAAATATCTTTGAGGGCAGCAAGGTGGCGCAGTAGGTAGAGCTCAGCGAGCAGGTCGCCTCGGTTCAAATCCTGGCCGGGGGTCTTTCTGGATGGAGTTTGCATGTTCTCACCATGTATGCGTGAGTTTTCTCCAGGCACTCCAGTTTCCTCCCACAGACCAAAAACATGCACGCTAGGTTGATTGGTAACTCTAAATTGTCCCTAGGTGTGAGTGAGAGAGTGAATGGTTGTTTGTCTCGTTTGTCTCCATGTGACCCTGTGATGGACTGGAGACCTGTCTAGGGTCTCGCCTCTTGCACAGTGATGGCTGGACATGGGCACAAGTGACCCCTGCGACCCAAAAAGGAAGAAACAGGTAAAGATAAAGGATGGATGGATGGATGGATGGATGGATATTTCCTTTGAGATAAGACTTCATCAAAACCAATTATAGACTGCCAACATTCCAATTTAATTTGGTTTTAGAGGGAACTAGACTTCCTTATTGTTTTTATCAGGTTTTATAAAATGTCATATAAGACACCTTAATCAATCATAAGCCTTGTAACATAAAATGGCTGCTCAAAAATACCTAAAAAATTCTGCAACTAAAAACAAAGTAGCAAGGTTACATTGTTACATAATATAATACAAAACAAAAGTCTCTTCTCTGCAATATATAATCATCAAGAAGTTTGATTATTTCCTTCAGGGACAGGTTTAGTAAAGCTAAAGGCTGTTTGTATATTTTTTTCTCCATGTCACACAGGAAAAAAGTATTAAAACTATCTAAATGTGAAAGCATTCATTGTACAAGCTCAGCTACCAAAGAACGCTAACACAAGTGTAGGTTTTCATACCACCCATTAGTATGCAGGACGAAAAGAAAAGTAGTGAGGAAAAAAAGATCCATTTACTGAAGCACATTAATCAATATACTTTTCATTCATAGGACACTTTGACACGTGTACAGACACCCATTGTCTAATATGTCCTCCCAAGGGGAGAATTTCATACCCACTGACCTGTCAGTGATGAAAACCGGTATTTTTCAGATCAGCCTGACTTTCCATTAAAGTGAGCACAGAGTGATGATTAAGACTTGGTACAAATTCAAAAAAGAAATATGCCTGCTCACCATTTTATCTGGTATTTATTGATGAGAAGAAGGAAAACGGCAAGAAAGAGAAAAATGAAGTGAAATACCACGGCAAACATTGTCTGTTTCTATTAAGACTGCTTAGATCTTGTTAATAAATGAGCGAGCTCCGTCGCTTCTCCTTTTGTCTTGTGAATAAAAATGCAACTGCTCATAACCGTTTAGAGCCATTCTTTGGTACATGGTAATGAATCACACGTTTTTGAACAATACAGTTGTAGTGAGTCACGTGAGGTACGTGTCACTTGTTGTATGACAAATATATGGATATATATTTATGCATACTTTTCACGAGTTCTTCATTTTTCTGACTGTAAATGCCGTGCATTGAATTTAACACAAAATGTAACGAGAGACGTTATTACCTTTGACCCATCAAATGAATGGAATCATTTATTTTCAGAATCAAAGTTTAACATCAAACATTTACATTAATTTGGCAAAATATGAAAATAATAACAGACAGTTTCACAGAAAATGAACTTCAAATCACTCGGCGGTGATTTGAGGACTTTGCTTCAGATATTTCTAAAAATATCTGTACTGATTTATGAGAGAGAAGAGTTTAAGATGAAAGGAGATTGATAACTATGTGAGGGAATTTAATCTGTTTGACCAGAAGTTGCACGCTCCCATCAGGTATCTCAGCTTTGCCCACAGTACACTTGGTCGAAGAAGAAGTCTTTACCTGGTTTGACGATAGATCAGCTCAGTAAGAGTCCTTCAGACTGTTTCAGCGCCTCCGTTGAGAGCAGCTAAAAATCCTCGGAGAGTCGTGCGTGGTTAGCTCAAAACAGAATTATAATCCCAAACGTCTCTGGTTCTTCATAACTCCAAACTCTTCATAACTCTTGGACTCTTCATTGCTCTGAAGCTTTCAGAACCGGCTGCACTCTCGATCTTGGAACTCTCACATTCTCCAGAACTCTCAATCTAACATGAACTGAGAAGTTGCCACATTTTATTTGGGTCGACTTCCTGTTCAATTTAGAGCTTTCTGATTCGTGGAAGGACCAGAAAGAGGAGTGGTTTTGACGTAAGGTGTTTATCAACAGTCGAGGTCAGAGAATGAAATTTGTTTTCACATACAGAAAAGATTATTGCAGCAACAGCAGACTTCGTGGAGTCAACTCTTGGTAATCTTCTGAAAAAGTTTAAACATGACATTTTTCTCGGTAAACATTTTAGTTGACCGAAAACCAACCTTTCACATACTTACGACTTGACTCATTTCAGACAGAAAATCAAGGAATGCTTATTCAGGTGATTTCTTCTTGGAATGAGGAATAAAAATCATTACTTACTGTTTATGTAAAATAAAGATGAGTAGTTCTTTTCAACCTATAAGCATTGAGTGAACTAACACAATTTGATTATCAAAACATTTGTAAGACAGTAATGATTATAAAGAATTGTCTTTTCTGCTTGATTAATTCAAGAAAGAAAGTCATCAGATGGCCCAGACTTATTCAGATCAATGAAAATAACAGTCTCTGTCCATCTGGTAGATTTGAGGTCATCTGGTTCACTACACAGTGAAAACAATTGAGAATAGTAATCTGTTTTCTGCAGCTTGGAGTTTCCTGCTCTGCTCAAGACACACAAACACTGCAGTCAGGAAGAATTACAGATAAAACTTTTGGTAGTAATGCTTCATACGGTCCACCACATATTGTGGATTTACATACTACTTACAGAGTAAATTACTGTTACTAAAAATATATTTATCTGCTACTTTCCAGCTAGCTATGGTGGTACTGATGAGGCTTTTACAAGGTAATTACAGGATACTTTCCTTCTACTTACACTGCACATTTGTACAGCCCAGAGCAGCAGAAAAAGCTTTGTCCTGCAGCTTTGTGCAGCCCTTACTGCTGCAGGATGAACTTCCTGCTGCAGCTGAACAGCTGATCGCTGTCCTCCGTGCAGAGCAAAGAAGTGGGCGTGGCCTAGAGCACTTGCAGACGGCAAAGAGCACAGGAGGCAGGGAGCTAAAATCATGACATTCTGTGCTCTTTTAGAGTGTTTAGAGTTTAGAAACGTTGTTTAGAATATTGCAAGAGTGTGGGAAGGGTTTAAAATGTCTACTTAATACTTGTATTACTATTCCTATGTCATGATTTTTTCACTTATCGCGAGTCTTCAGGGTACAGATACCCTGTGATAAACGAGGGACTACTCTACTTACAGGGGTCTAGTTGTGCCTTTGGCTGCTCCCTTTTGCAGGTGTCACCACAGTGAGGAAACTTTTATGAAATATTTGGCAACTGTTTTATACCAGGTGCTCTTCCTGATGCAACCTGGGCTTGAACCTGCAGCATCAGGATGACAAGACCACAGCACTGACCACTGAGCTACCGCAGACCCTCCCCCATTACGGTGCATACAGGGTAATTTCCTTTGACTTACAGGATATTTTTCTGCTACTTCCCTGCTACTTATCCTGCATCTACATAGTAGTTATGGTCACCTAGATATACCGGTACTATAAAGTGTCTTCTTACACCATTCTTACTTACATAGTACAACTTCAACTTTCACTTTGATTACAATTTCAATTTTATGTTTCATACTCACTGAACCCCATGTCTATACATATCCACCCCCACCCCCCCCCCCACACACACACATTGATATCCTTTACAACGTGTTGTATGTCATTTAGCATTTCACTGTTAACAGTTTTCAATACATAGGTCAACATTTCGGATCATGAAATGAAAATATATTAAAATAAACTGAAAACTTAACTTTATCTATCTATATGTTAGAAGCTTGTTGAATATATTTTAGCTTTCTATCTTTTCTGACTTTTTTTTTTTTACAGAAACTTGCCAGTTTTACTTAATCAGAGTTTCTCCTTTTCCGCTGCTCCAGTTTACATTGATGAATGCTGCAATTAGACACTGCACAGGCTTAAATTTTTCATAGTGATCGGCGTGAAAGGTAGTTAAAAAAAATTATAGTCTAATTGACAAATCTAAGGAGATGTAAGAGGAAGTGACAGAACAGATTAAAATGAAGAGGAAAGGATTGGAGTAAAGAGTAAGAGACAAAATGTGCAGAAGACAGAAAAGGGCAACAAGAGCAGCTGAACGGTGACAAAATGGCAAATAAGAGGGGTAAAGATGACCATTGTTCCAGCTGTCATTGTGTGTTTTTCTTGTTTTGGCAGGATGTAAAGTGTGTGGGAACCACAGGGAGGTACAACACAAAGACACACAAACACATGAAAACTCACTCTTATTCATGTACCTCAGGCTCATTTGGAAAGGGATGTATGTATCCAGCTATGCCCACAGTACTGGGCTGTCAGGAGTCCAGGACTGTGGACTGTTTATAACCTGTCACACAGACACTAATCCACACTGACAGCTCCCAGGTGACCAATGGGCTCACTGCCCAGTGACAAGCCGCTAGGCCCGCTGAACCTCACCAACCTTCACGGGCACTCACACAGAACCACAAAACTGCTCCGCTTGTGTGCCAGGGTGTGTTTGTGTTGGGAGTAGGAGTGAAAGGAAGTGCCGGGCACTTCGGCCTCTGTCCTGGCTGCAGCACAGGGCGCAGAGCAGAAAAATCAATACCACAATCAGCAAAGACTAGGTGAGGGAACAGAGAATGCAGGAAGGGTAGATAAGGTGGAAGAGAGATGAAGTGAGGCAAAAAAAAAAAAAAAAGATCAATTGAAGAGGGAGAAGTGAACGAGGTAGAGACTTGTACAGTAATTATTTGAGTTATAGGACACATACCTGCTGGCGTAATGTTCAATCCTGCTGTGCGTGTCGGCATGGGGCAGTCTGGGCGAGGAGCACGGTCTAAGACCAGAAATCAAAGTCAAAACCCCACAGATGTGTTGCTGACTACAAAGAACACTTCTGCACAACGTTTCACTGTTTTGCTGACGATACACAACTGTACATTTCTACTTATTCCATTGATGCATTGATACATTAAATCACTGAGCTTTACACAAAGATTACAGGAAGTAAATATAAATATTAAAGGCGTTACATAAATGAATAATTAATTATTTAAGCTCACATCATTGCCACATACTTCAGTCTATTTTATGTCAGTAGTTTTAATGTTTGACTCCTTTATGTGGAAATGCATAGTCATTACAATTGATTGGTTGATCGTAACACCAAGATCAATCATACAGAGTGAAAATAATGTGCTAGCAGCTGATTATTGTCTCTGTACAAAGATCCTGTTACAACTTGTGACCTAAGCTGGACACTAATTTGAGCTCAGAGACGGCAGATAAAAATTTGAAAGTGTGGTTAATTGTGGCACATTTATATGGTGCAGTGTCCCTTTTTTAACAAATCAAGAATAAAACTTTTACATTCATCATTTTAAATGACCTTAAATGTTCTTTGAATATTTGCGGAATAGCTTTGAAACTATGAGATTTGAAAATGGTCACAAAAAACATGAACTCATACTCGTATTAAATCATCCTGCGTCCCGTTGTAGCCCAGAGCGGCGCTTCGGGATGATCTCATTGATTTTAGTCTCACTGCTCTTGTTTCTTTCTTTGTGTCAGAGTCGCTTGTGAGCAATGTGTCTGAGTTGGACTGAGATCACAAGACCAAGCTTATGTTTCCTCTGAACACAAAGAAACCATCTTAGTAAGTTAGCACAGTTGATTAGCATACAACAGCAGGAGCATGTAGAGCATCGAAGAAATGACAGAAGAAGGTGCAAAGAGATGGAGGTGTGTGGTGGGACTCACGTCTCGGAGCTCTCAGACTCCAGCACTGATTGCACTGGCAGGTAACCTCTCTGTGGGTGCTTTGTAAAGTACTGCTTTGACCTGAACTTGTTCTTCAGAGTCTTTGCGAAGTCCCTCATCTTCTCCCCCGAGGTTGTCTGCAGTTGCCGAGGGTGATGGGTGAAGGAGGGGCGACAAGTGGAGGGTGAAGCACAGGTCATGGATGATTGAAAGACAAATTGCACTGTTTTAAAGTGGCTTTCTCCAGAGATTACCTCATGTACCCAGGTTTATATTGGGGACTGCCATTGCACTGCATAGGAGAGCAATGCATGAAAGGCACCTATTATTCCACACCTCATAAGCGTTTATTTATGTCACCATTAATGCAGACCGAACCATAACATGTACCCCAACAAAAGTTATATCAAAACAATCGGCTCAATCTGAAGATTACAGCTATTACTTTGATTGGCAATCGGAGTTACCATGGCAACGTATTTTGCTAACAAAGACGCCATATTTCCCCATCGGAAATGACTGAGAGAACACTCCTCACACTAACTGCTGCTGTCAAATCACATGACTTAAGAGTGTAGAGGTCCCTGAAGAAAACAAACTCACTGTTGGATACGTTTGAAACTCGCACAAAGTAATCATCAGATAAATGTCTAGAACTGATTAATGTTTGTAGCCATTTTGATTCAAGACGGCTGCCACAGCTACCTCAGGAAACACAAAATTGACTATAAATCTGTCATTCTTTGAGATATTGAGCTCAAATTAAGTATGGTTGTAGCTGAGAGCAAGTTGTTATACATTCCTAATGCCAATCAAAAATCCAAGATGTCTGCCTTAGCTAAAAGAGAAAAAATATGATAACTCAGTCATTTTTAGAGATATTGAGCTGAAATTTGGCGTATTGGTAGTTGAGAGCGAACACCAACACATAGTGCTGTCAAATCAATTTTTTTTATATCGGCAACAGCCTGGCAGTCTTCGTCAAAGTTTCTCCAGGAACTTTCTAGTTTAATAATACCAATAATACCAACTATTCCACCATCTGTAGTGTATATCTCTAGCTGTTTTTTGTTACTTTTTTTTTTAGCCATCCTATTTGTAAAAAAAAAAACCAAAAAACAATTGTATGACTTTTTATAACTGTTTATTGTTTTCGCTGTTGTCCATTGTTGTCATCATTCTTTGTTGAAATCAGGTCTCTCTTGTAAATGAGTCCTCGAGGCTCAATGGGATTTACCCGTCTAAATAAAGGTTGAATGAATATATATATATATATATATTTTTTTTTTTTTAATGTTATTTCCTACCCTTAGTTTTTTTGTTATAAATGATCCCTTTTTGAATCTTTTTAACTCAGTAGTTTTTGCTCTGTCCCAGCAGAAGGTGCCTGCTTGTTAAACTGCACTCACATGGTCCTTTCCATATTTTTAGAATTAATTAGAAATTTATTCTGACTCCATCTCTGTAAACTCCAGCATTTCTTTAAAATGAACTCAACTTTGTGCACTTTCTTCATATACAGGTTTGATTGGGGTTTTGTGCGTCATAAAAGCGCTTTGATTCTACACTATAAGAGCCAAAAGGGATATTACGGCTAAGTGGCACTCCATCTGTGCATACTATAGATCTGGGTGCGATGATAGGCACTTTACAGTGGATTAGATCCCTAATCCATGTTTGGCAGAACAAATCAAGCATGAAGAGAATGTGTTTCACTCATGAGAGGAGTTTAGCTTTATCTATCCCTAAAGACTTGGATTTGTAATCTTTCAAAGCATTACACAACTCCCGTCTTACCGGGGTGTAGTACTCCATGATGGGGTAGTGCAGCTTCTTCCCCTTGGTTGTGCGGCCAGTTAGAAAACATGTCTGGCAGATGTCCACGTTGAACTGCTTCAGGCTGCGATACCTGTCAAGATCAATAGAACAAAGAGACTTAACTGATGTTTGTTGGAGCGTGTCTTTCTGTGTGTGTGTTCAGAAGATAAATATGTTTACAGACCTACAGGAAAAAAACAACTATTTTTTCCTTGAGAAGACCCTACACATTCAGGGATGATTGAATGTTAACTTGGATCTCAATAAAGTCTTTGTGCATTAATAATAGACCTTTCAAACTGACAGAAACACAAGCTTACGCAGGAGGTGTTGGAATAAATCAACTCCTGAACACGTAATCCCTTACAGACATTTGATAAACGTGTGTAAACTGCGCATTAGTTCTTTATATGCCTATGTGCAGATGAGAAATGTCACAAAACAACTCAAGTAGAATAAATTAATTTACTATAAAACACTAAACTACACACAGACCCTCTTATTATTACAATACAGTGTATATTAGCTCTAAAAGCAGCCCTTTGCCTCAGCAGGTAATGAAAACATAAAACGAAAGATTTGTAGGCTAATTATTCCACAGTTAATACTTTATTTCTAATTATTACCACATGAAAATCACAAGTACTGCGATTTTATACCAGCATTTATTTTGATTATTTTTTTTATTTTAAAAGCTCTCACACTGCCGTGTTACTGATCTGTATGTGTTTAAGTGCAATCTGATCCTAAGATTTTGATGTTGATGTATCTGATTCATTTCAGGGTGTCATAGAGACAGTTTGTTGTTTATATTCATAATGCAATAAAACATTATTTAAATCCAAAATTTGGAATGCAAATTAAATATTTTGATTGAAAACCTGGTCCCCATCAAGAACCAAGCTTTAATTTGTAACACTGATTTTAATTCTTGCTTTATTTTTCTAACATCTGGTTGAACAGTGACTATATTTTGTACCATTTGATGAATAAATATCCCATTTATGTGCTGAAATCTCTGAAGGGTCATGAATTTTAATCCTCTATTGTTTCTTTTAGCAGCGCATGTATTGTATGCTTGTCGCACCCACACAGTCCTGCCCACCTGAAGCCCTTGATAGGACATTGTTTGCAGACATAGCATTTGGCCTGATGCTTGGTCGACTCTGCAGCAGCCACTCGGTGAAGGACGGGCAGCCAAACCATCGATTGGGGCTCAAGACTCGTCCACTCCAGGAAGTGAGACACCTCTATGGCAGGTTTCCCTGGAGCCTGGCAGAGAAAAATTGGAGGAAAGTAAAAGACACAAGCCTGTAAACAAACCAAATCTAGATGTATACCAATAATTACAACAGAAAGAAAGGGCAAGGAATTATTCCCTTTAGAAGGCAGTATTACATATTATTGAGAATTTGTTTTAAAAAATACAGAAGATAAAAACTAGACTAAAGCTAGGAATGGAGAAAAAGTGTACTGGTGCCCATTTCTAAGAACAAGGGTTATGTACAGAGTTGTATCAGCTACAGGGGAATTAAGTTGATGAGTCAGACAGTGAAGATCTGGGAGAGAAATGTGGAAGCAAGACTTAGAAGAGAGGTGACTGTGAGGAGCAGTATGGTTTCATGCCAAGAAAAAACACCACAGATGCCATCTTTGATTTGAGAATGCTGATGGAGAAGTACAGATAAGGTCAGAAAGAACTGCATTGTGTCTTTGTGGATTTAGAAAAAGCATATGACTGGGTGCCGAGGGAGGAGGTGTGGTATTGCACGAGGAAAGCTGGAGTGGCAGAGAAGTATGTTAGACTGGTACAGGACATGTATGAGGACAGCAGGACAGTGGTGAGATGTGCTGTAGGAGTGACAGATAGCTACAAGGTGGAGGTAGGAGTGCATCAAGGATCAGCTCTGAGCCTTCTTTTGTTTGCTCTGGTGATGTACCGACTAACAGATGAGGTCAGGCAAGAATCCCCATGGACAATGATGTTTGCAAATGATATTGTGATCTGTGGTGAGAACAGGGAACAGGTGGAAGAGAACTTGAAGAGGTAGAGGTATGCACTTGAAAGAAGAGGAATAAAAGTCAGCCGTAAGACAGAGTACAGTGAGGCTACAAGGAGCAGAGGTCACAAAGGTGCAGGATTTCAAGTACTTGGGGTCCACAGTCCAGGAAAATGGGGAATGTGGTAAAGAGGTGAAAAAATTCCAGGCAGGATGGAGTAGATGGAGAAAAATTTCAGGAGTAATTTGCGACTAAAGGATGTCAGCAAAGGTCAAAGGAAAAGTTTACAAGACAGTGGTGAGACCAGCTATGTTGTATGGTCTGGAGACAGTGTCATTGACAAAAAAGACAGGAGAAAGAACTGAAATTGGCAGAAATTAAGATGTTGAGGTCCTCCTGAGGAGTGACAAGGATGGATAAGATTAAGAATGAGATGATCAAAGCTACAGCACAGGTTGAACAACTGGGAGATAAAGTTTGGGAGACCAGACTGAGATCGTTTGGACATGTCCAGAGGAGGGACAGTGGGTATGTTGGTAGAAGGATGTTAAAAATGCAGCTGCCTGGAAAAATACAAAGAGGAGATATTTGAATGGAGTTAGAGAGGACATGGAGGTAGTTGGAGTGAGGACAAAGGATGCAGAGGACAGAGTGAAATGGAGGAGGATGACTCGATGTGGCAACCCCTGAAGTGGGAAAAGCTGAAAGAAGAAGACGAAGAAAAACTAGACTAAAACTAAATGCATAATGTTAAAGGATACCCCTGGGTTTTGTTTAATGCATGTGCTTAAGTAGATATGAAGCTAAAATGCAACAGATTTAAATTAATGTCAGTGTTCATGCATTATTTCAGGTTCTATGTCTCTTTTGGCCATTGCTTGTTGAAAATTCCATAAAGGGGAATGAAAAGGAAGTGAACCTAATAAAGGAATAACTCGCCATGCACTAAGAATTTGTGATGTGCTAAATTCTCATTAAGTCTGCATCAGAGATGCATTAAGAACTTGATTTCCCTGGGGCTCCCCCCACTGCTCAAGCAGAGTAACATAATAAATGCATGTGAATGTGTGTGCCTATCCCAGACTGTGATGTGCACAGAGATGTAGTCTCCAGAGGATAGAGACACTCCTTTTGGTTACTGGAGCAGCCAGCTTCACTCCCTGTGGGAGGTCAAATAACAGTTTCTTACACATCAAACACCTGGAACAAGCAGTAGCTATATGCTGATCACGCCACAGTATCGCAAAACAATCCACAGACAGATGGGATGTTGTGAACATCACTCACAAAAACAGCTCAATTAATATGCAACTATGTAATATATGCAGGTTTGTTTTGTTGCTTTACTGTTTATTTGATATACCATAGTGTGAAGATTTAAAATAATTACAAATCAGTAAAAGTTTGGATGGAAAGTGAAACAAAAAAGCATTAATTACTTTATATTTAATTCATGTTGAAGAATCGGTTGTGCCAAAAATGAGGTGAAAAAGTATGTTACTTTAATCTTGGTTTAAAAAAAAAAACACAATCATGTTGAAAGCTGAGTTCGTAAAGAGCAAAAATTAGTAAGAGAAGTCTAGTTTTATCAAGTAACATATGAGAGGATCATCAGAATGTTTAAAAACCACATACAGCACATTATACGTCCGTTGACCAACTTACAGTTAAACAGCAATCTATATCAATGGTCTGGAAAAGCAAATTCAATTCAATTCAATTCAATTCAAAAATACTTTATTAATCCCAAAGGGAAATTATTTGTTGTTGTAACTCGTTATCCTCATTTCATTGAGATGTTATAGATACTGATGGCTTTAGACAGGAAGGATCTCTTGTAAAGGTCCATCCCACAGTGGATCCCAAGAAACTGGCTGCAGATGCCGTTCAATCCGTCCACCCAGACTCTGCTGGCCTCTCGGTTCCCCCGGGCTGTAGGACCGCCCAAAAGCCGGGCAGAACTCCTCCCAAAGCGATGGCCACTCCTCCCAGCAGTCTGCCGAGCTCCTTGTCGCTGCAGATAGTCAGCTGTAGGTGCTGAGGGACGACCCCGTCCCTCTGCTGCCACGAGCCGTGTCCCCCGCCATCTCCAGGACCCCAATGGCCAGGCACCCGAGCACAGCCGGCAGGCCGCTGAGAATGCATCCACAGAGCCTCCTTTTCAACTCGTTTGAGATTTGGGGCTGTAGTTGAGATATTATTTGAGCTTTTGTGATGTTAATCAGCTGCTGTTGGTTGTAGAAAACTGCCTTGTTGCCATGGTTACGCATCATAACAAATGTCCAAACCTAAAAAAGTTTCAGTAAAATCCTTCCAGCTGCACAGCATCCAATACCAGAGGAAACAATCATCCAAAAAAATGTGCTTTACATCCAGAAAAAGAGGAATTAAAGTTTCCAAAAGCAAAATCTCAGAATGAATGTAGAGCTGCTCCAACATGCAGCCACCTTGAGCGGCACAATTCTAGAGTTCAAAGACCATGTATAAACTTTTACCTTGATATGTGACCTTGAATTTGAAGCTGAGGAAATGAAAAGTGTACATGACACTTCGTCTAGTGATAATGCATATGTGTATCAAGTCTTATTAAATTATCTTGAGGGGATCAGAAGTTATGGACGAGACGAGAGAAAGTTTACGGATGAACCGAGACTATACCAAATTATGTCTGTCTTCTGATCAGAGTCAGTCAGAGTCAGAGTTTCTTTATTGTCATTCGCACCTCATGTGGTACATGTGGTGGAGCGAAATTATGTACACGGGGTCCCAGTTACATCCAACAATAAAATGTATAAGAAAAACAGTAATAACATCTAAGATATGAACTAAGAAAAACATCAACTAAATATACACTAAGCACTCATAACATAAAACATTGAACATCAGCACAAACATGAACATGAGTCTGTGAGCAGATGTGCACGCATGAACACATCAACATTGAGACAGATCAGCAGCAACATGAAACAGATCAGCAGCAACATGATATGGTTTTTATGGTTCGAGGTTGGGAGTGAGGTTCTGTCTCAAGTGGAGGAGTTCAAGTATCTCAGGGTTTTGCTTGTGAGTTAGGGAAGCAGAAGATCAACAATGGATCAATGTAGCTTCTGCAGTATTGCGGACTGTGCCCGTCTTGTGGTGAAGAGAAGCTGAGCTTCAAGGCAAAGCTCTCGGTTTACTGGTCTAAGTTCCCACCCTCACCTATGGTCCCAAACTTTGACTAGTAAAGAATGAAACTGCAGATACAGGTGGTTGAAATGACTTTTCTCTGCAGAGTAGCTGGACTCTCCCTTAGAGATCAGGTCAGAAGTTCAGGTGTTCGAGAGACTCGGAGTTGTACTCCTCCACATCGAGAGGAGCCAGTTGAGGTGGTTTGGGCATCTGGTAAGGATGCCTCCCCAGTGATGTTTTCCAGGCAGAAGATCCCAGAGAAGACTCAGGACCTGCTAAAGAGACTACGTCTCTTGGCTGGCCTGGGAACATCTTGGAATGGAAGGGTATTTTGTTTATTTTGGCCAGGACTCCCAACTCCCTGTTCTGTCCTGGATGATTTATTAAAAATCATTTCACACATTACAATCATCTGGACTCCAGGTGTTGTGTGTCCTAAGCAACTCCTAAACATACAGTCCATAACATGACATTGGAGAAAAGGGGTCCACAATCTTTAAAAACAAACCAATGTGATATTTTCATGAGCTAAAAAGTTCTAAGGAAAACATCTGGTCCATCACATCGGTCCAGCTGGTCTACCACCAGCAGCAGCTGCCAAGAGGAGAAAAATGGGACTGATCCCACTTTAAAGCTCGGACAAATCTAAGATGACTGGGAGACGGTTGCTGTTTATAAAAAGTTCATGAGAAAGATATAAAGAAAGGGATTCAAAAGATGAAAGACTCATGGCAATTTATACTGACGAGTTATTAAAATGGTCACCTATTCTTGAAGGCCAGAAGCCTTTCCTTGTGGTTGCTCTGTTGTACATTTGCTAAATTGGCTGAAAAAGTCAACAGAAGAAAAAAAATAATAGTCATGTGTCCCTTGGTGTGCTTGGTCAAGGAGAATAAAAGTAATTGATTTTCTTTATTAAACTATTTTGATTTAAATGACCAAATGTTACCATTCTAAAAAAAAGTTTAGTCTGGTCCTCTGGCCAGTGGCTGTTTAGTTTCCCTGATGTAAGACTGATCACCCTCCTGACACTGAACAGCATACACAACATTACTCTGTTTGTGCCAGGGGACTGGATCTTTGGGATGAACCAGTCTTTGCCGTAATGTATTTTGGGGTTTAAAAGCCACTGGGACGTTATGTTTAGAAAATAAACGTCTCAGTTCCTCTGATACTCCCTCAACATATGGAATGACCACTGGTCTGGGCTCCTCCTTTTCACCTGTTGGCTGACTGGAGTCCTGTTTGGGTTTCTTCTCTGCTTTCAGGAAGGGCAAGTTAGGATATCCACATTGCTCTAGAGCCTGTGTTGTGTGGGATTTCATGTGAACATTGTTTTCATTCTACATTAAATTAACTGAAAAATCATCCATCCATCCATCCATCATCTTTACACGCTTCTTCCTTTTTGGGTCACAGGGGGTCACTGGTTCCCATGTCCTGCATCACTGTGCGAGAGGCGGGGGACACCCTGGACAGGTCTCCAGTCCATCACAGGGACACCAAGACAAACAACCATTCACTCTCTCACTCTCACCTAGGGACATGTCCTGATGCATGCTCAACAATCCAGGTAGATAAATCTAACAAGGTTTAGTCCAAAAGACAACTGTGTGACTGAAGAAGTCTTTGGGGAAAGAGACAAAATGTTTCAACAAAGAAGAATCCGTCCAGATGACCTGACTTCACCTTGTTAGACACCTAGGGGCAATTAGAGTTACTAATCAGTCTAACAAGCATGATTTTGGTCTGTGGGAGGAAACTGGAGCACCCTGAGAAAACCCACACATGCACAGAGAGAACATGCAAACTCCACCCAGAAAGGTCCCCGGCCGGGATTTGATCTAGCAACCTTCTCACTGAGAGTCGGCAGCTCTACCAACTGCACCACCATGCCACCCACTGACAAATCATAATACCATTAAATTTAATGAGAAATATGTGACAGAAATTAGAGCCACTTGAACATAAGTGCTGGATAAATATATCTCTAGACTTTTCTTTTACCATAAATTATTCTCCTTCTTTTTAAATCTGCCACCTCTATTGCAGACAAAGCAACTAAACTGCATTTAAAACAGACACTTTCTTCAGCTTCAGGCTTGATCTGCTGATGGGTTTTCAAGCCAATAACTCCAAGCAGACATAAGGAGCAGATCTTTTTTATTTTTAACTATTATTAATCATGTGTTTTGATTTTACACCAAAACTATTTAAGACCTAAAAGATGTAAAACTGATCCTAATCTCCTGTGACCAGATCTGAGATGAACAATATAAACTTATTTTTAAATTTATGTGTTTGTGTTTAGTTTTTGTTTGTTTTCATGGTAAACCGTGCACACAGGTTTTACATCAACATACTGTTATTAATATCACAATCTAATGAAAAACACAAATTATGAATTATATGCGTCATTTAACTGATTAACATTTGAATCAAATGGTATAACATACATACAATAAGTAAGTTCATAAATTCTCCATTAAGGAGGATAAATGAGCATTAGCTCCGATCACTTTGATACGCGAGGCTTACAAAGTAAATAAACATAATAAAATGCAGCAAAGAACTGATTTAAAAAAAAATACATTTATTTTTTTGACAATTCCTTTTATGGAGGTCATGTAGTCACATGACTTACCCCCACCTCACTCCCTCCTAACCAGAAGGTAAAACATTGAAAATGGCTGCAAACAATACCATCACCTTGGGAATATAACAAGAGAAAAATATAATGATTTAAAGTCTGTTGGTCTGGACAAAGATACTCTCCACCTACCAAAGAATATTTGGATTAAGGACGTTTAACTCACATTTCTTGATACTTAATATGGACCAGTTTCTGAGCTGGGAGACTTCAGAAAACAAAGCCCAAAGCATTTAAATGTCTACATAACTGGTTAATTAAAAGTGGGATTTATTGTGGAATTTAAGGCAACAAAAAAGTTCGTACAAATGGTTAAGGTTTTTGTCCCTGGCATATTACCTGCATGTATGATCCCAGTGAAGCACAGGAAACATGTGAGTGCAGTTGTTTGAGGAACACTTCAGTCTTTGAAGCAAACTCCAAAAGTTTAGTTACTTTCAGTACAGGTTTCATTTATGTTTTAATATACCATGAGGTTGACAAACTATCACGTTTGTCCACATTATAGAAAAAAAACCTACTGTATGGTTTTTTTTGTTGCTTTATTCTACTTTTAGATGTTTGCATTTGTAAGCAAATTTAAAAAAATGAGAATTAAAATTTCTGGTTGTAAACTGACATCTCTTGTGCAACTCATGTTAAAACCAACTATAGGGCACAGCTGAGTTCAGCTTTTATTCAGAACACAGGACACATGCCTAACAAATGGAGCAGCTTTATTATGTTTAATTAAATGATTACAAAAGCACTGCAGTTGCACTACAGACTGATAAAGATACTAAAAGGATATTAAGATAATTATTTATCATAATATGCATCATTAACACCTGCCACCCAGACACGCACAAGTATTTGCTACTGTTCCTACACTCGTGTTGCACCAAAGCTTTTCCTCCATTCTCTTTGTGTTTTATGCCGTTTGAACAGTTCAAACTCTTTAAGGCAGCTGTCTTCTCTCAACTCCACTGAGCAAATAAAGCAGATAAAATGAGTAGAGAGGGCGTGACTAGGCTGTGCAAGATTTCTGCCTGCACCACCTTGCATGACCTCTATTCATCAAAAACAAAGTGAAAGCAACCTCTCTGGGGGGTTGATACTTCTCAGAGAGGTTATACGAGTGTCTCTGCTGGGTGTACGTAAAAAAAAGTTTTACCTTAATAGTTTGCCTCGATAGAGAACGCTCCACCCACCTGTCGTAAACGTTGAGCAGCCAGTTGAGACACATATCAACACAAAGGGGGATGTTGACCAGAATGGATCGCTCCTCCTCCAGCTTCTCGTACAGGGCTGTCAGGCCGTGAATCACCTCGACCACATCCATCACGTGCTCCCCCTGCTGCAGCTCCTGCTCCCGAAACACGTCCACGAGATCGCTCAGCGCCACCAAATCCACTAAAACAAAACAACACACGAACTATGGACAGCTTATACAGAAGGCTTGACTCGTTAACATGAATAATGTGTGAGACATCGTTAGCTCCGACACAGATATGAGTGCAAATTTACTTTTGTGGCAGGAAAACGCTCGCACTCTCTGCAAACGAGGCAACGCCGATGCTTATTCAGCCATTTTGGCCACTTAGGCCCGACCGTATGTTTCAAGAGCAGTGGCACAATTTGATTTCGCTCTTCTAAACTAATTTGATGGCACATCCCTGGGAGTGGAGCTAAAAGGATGTCCGCTGATGCCAGGTATAATTGGATGGCGTGATAATGAGGTAGAGCAGGAAGAGGCGATAAGAGGAGTGTTTCTTGGGGTTTGGAGGGAATCACCCAAAAAAATGTATTTTTGATGGGCTCCAACGCGGCGCTGCTCAGTTATTCACAACGTGTGTCGAAGGAGAGAATGAGGATTGTGGAGTTATCAAGGCAGCCTACCAATTAAATTCAGTAACGATATCAACCCATAGACCAGAGCAGAGGGGGGAGATAACGGAGCTGGGAGGAGAGGGAAAATGAACGAGCGACTGAAAGACGTTTTATGTGCACGCTTAGTTTTTATTACAGGAATGTGGAGGAGAGAGAAGGTTACGAGAAGGTTGCAGCAAATAGGTAGAAGGAGGAGGAGGAACCTAAATCAGCAAATGTGCAAAAATGAACACTTTTACAGATAAAAAAAAAAATAATCCAAACTGGGGTTAGCGTCCTAAATACGAGAAAATTGACAAAAAAAGGAGGTATTGACCGTGATGGGACACCCAATCAAGCTTCAACCATGCAGCAAAAACTAATTAGCTTCTATTTTGTAACTCAAATGGACCAATTATTAGCTAATTACCCAGCAAGCAGGGCATCTAGGCTGAGAGGACAGCGACGGTTTCCAGCATGTCTGTAATTCTAGTGGCTCTTGAGATTAGGATTACTTCTGATTACTGCATTTTAAAGCCAAGTAGGGCAGAAAGGGGAAATGATTCCTTCAGTGAATGAATAAAGAAACTTGCCACAGTTAATCGCTACATCTCATCCACACAAAGAGAATGTTATAGAGAATTATTGATGGTGCAGGATAACAGAAAAATCCCTCAGCCAGTTGTTCCAGGGCAGCAGACAGAATTTGCAGCACATACATCTCAAAGCCTTCTGAACTCGTCGCAGCTTCATGGCTGTTCTGTATGCCGAGAACTTGATGTTGTTCAGATCCGCTGGTGAAAGGAGGGAGAGATGGAAAGAGATTAAAGTGATGAGAGAAACCTAATCCATCCTGCGTCATTCTGCATCCTGCCATCGAGGAAGTAGATGTCTATCTGTCGGTCATTAGTAGTTTGTTGTATTACAAACAGTATCTATGCATCTGTCTGTGCTCGTGCATGTTTGTGCATGTGACTAAGTGCATATCTTCCCTGCAAGCTCCCCGTGTCAGATGAGATTAACATTAAAACATACAATGTCGTCTAATCGCAATTAATTAGCGGCTAAGCGGGAAGCAATCACAGCGCTGGTAAATTGGGCCTCATAGGTTAATGACAATAAAATTGTAGTCCCCAAGGTGGCTAAAATGCAGGTCCCTTAATGAGCCACGCAAGCGCAGCAGCACCAAACCAAACAAGTAGTGTTTCTGCAGCTCAGTAGGCATTGTGGACAAATGAGCAACAGAGTGCATCATCTCTTTACTCACCCAGCGCTTGGTACAGCTCTGTCATCTTTGGATGGTCCCAGCACGTTGTCTGGGCCTGATGGCTGCGAGAAAACATATGAAAGAGGTGCAAAAGGTTTTTTATTAAGCAAAGGAGAATGAAGGCCAGGGAGATCAAAGTAAGAATAAAGTAAAAATGAGTAGGGCTGAAATGGGCAGGTGAGCAGACAGTAAAAAGGAGTGAGAAGAACGGGCGCTGACTAACAGACAAAAAATGAGAAAAATTAGAGGGAAGAGTAGGACGACTACTGTTTACTAAATAGGCCCAGAAATTTAGATTTGGAGAATTCAGAGAAGTATAAAAACACAATGAAAGGCTTTGTGTTCAGGCAATAAATATATCATACCATATTACCCTGCTTCACTCATGAATGCAACATTAGCCAGCTTATGCCTAAAATCACCCTTCTGTGCTACAATGGTCTCTACGAGAACACGCAGAAAATGTATTCAGCATGACATAAAAAGGACAAGTGCAGCTGAATAAATAGGAAACCTCAGAGCAGGAAGTGTGCCAGGACCTATGGGCCTTTCAGGGCTGCAATCATCATTTACCTGTAAAAGCACTCATTGATTACTGTCAAGTGGAGCACTACTCAGATACTGTTCATCTCCCATCTCCACTGGAATAGGAACAAAGTTCATACAAAAATGACTGGCACGCTAAAAGACCCAGTAGATAGAGTTATAGTGTTGCACATGATTAATAAGATAAATGCTAAAGTATATAGAAAAATGAAACTGAAAATAGTATTATGTTTGTTTGAATGACACAGAATTACATTGACACACACGGTTTTTAGTACCCAGATGATCTTCAAGAGGAAAATTTACCACATTCCAAGTTGTCAGAAAACAGTTTAGAAATGAATTTTTGTTTCTAATTAGAACCGAACCAGTTTCCAAAATGTATTACGACCATCCATCAACATATATTACTAGATCAAATGTTTCAGCCTTCTCCTGTTGTTGGGAGTTGAAGCCAGAAAGACCTGGTTTACAGGAGCTGCCATGTTATATTTTTGGAACCAGAGTCTGTGCACTAGCAATATGTAAACTCATGTTAAAAGCTGTTACAGAGTTTATGCATTTTCTGATTTCTGCCTTTGAATGAGCAAGTGTGTGCGTTCCCAAGGTTGGAGTCAAACGAAAAACAAGTTGTTATGTTAAAACTGTCATGTTTTAGAATCCTCTCAGACGTAAATATAGATGTTTTGCACCTGTTTCTGAAACACGCCAAAACAAAACTCTCTCTGTCTGTGAGAACATTTCTGATCTGTCTCATAACAATTCTCGCTGTCTCTAACCTCTTACGTCACAAAACACACCCCGTCTGGTCGTTTCTGACCAATGAACAACTCCCAAAAGTGAACCGGGAAAGAGTCTTTAAAATGTCAGTACTTCCTGATCTACTCAGAGTTCTGGGAGTTCTAAGAGTTCTGGAGTTCAGTAGTTGCTAGAGTTCTGTGGGAGTTCTGTAAACTACACAAGTTCTGCTGAGTTCTAAGAGTTCTGGAGTTCAGTAGTTGCTAGAGTTCTGTGGGAGTTCTGTAAACTACACAAGTTCTGCTGAGTTCTGATGGAGTGCTGTTGGAGTTCCTGACATGACAACAAAGCTCTTCCGAGTTCCATGGGATTATAACATTTTCCACTGAGGTGAATATGTGTCGAACAGAGCCTCGCCATTACTTCGGACGAGTAACAGCATCCTACTGAGACGCTGAAAGGGTGCGTTAAACGGAATCTCACCTGAGACATCTCCAGGTAAAGGAGCCGATTTCATCACCTAAGTGTACTGTAAGGAAAAGCTGAAGAAAGCCGGAGAGTGTCGATTCTGGTGAACACTTAATTTCCCTCACACACCATCTTACTCCCTCTAAACTTCTTTCCATCTTTAAACTTTTCTATCAAGTAGAAATTCTTCCAGATATTTTAGAAATGTCTGTGTAAAATGCTCACCCACATTCATGTGGGTAAAAGATCATAATTGTACAGTTTATAAATGTCTGTGGTGAAGCAACGGAAGAATCATGGCCGTATGATTTTTCCTGATTGATTGCTTATGTTGTTATTTTCATAATTTGCCAAATTAATGTAAATGTTTGATGTTAAACTTTGATTCTGTAAATAAATGACCGCATTCATTTTGATGGGTCAAACGTAAATGACGTCTCACGTTTGCATTTCCTTAAATTCAATGCACGTTTTATTCAGTCCAGAAAAATGAGGAATCCGTGTTAAATGATGAATATATCCCAGCATCTGTTCATCTACAGGGCTTTAAGTCCCGCCTACTCCCTTGCACACAACAGTGATGACACACAAACTTTTTTTAACATGAAAAATGGCAATACAGTTAAACTTATTAGAAAAGTGAATATTTGAAAATGCAGCAGCAAGGAAGAACTATGTGAATCAACAAGGATTGAAACCTGAAGACAGTTATTTGTATCCTGATGCATGAAGTCTTTCGGATGAAACACGAAACGTTTCTACAATTTGGATTTTTATTTTTTATTGAACCCATCCAGAGGAGCTGACTTAACTTTTTTAGTATCTGTATAATAACTTTTCAACTCAAGGCAACGTCTTGTTTGTTTAGAAAGAATGAATGAGGCTTTAGGACGGCATGGTGGTGCAGTGGTTAGAGCAGTTTCCTCTCAGCAAGAAGGTCACAGGATCATGTTCCAGCCTAGAGCCTTTCTTGGTGGTTTAGTCTCTCTGTGTATGAGTGGGTTATCTTCAGATACCCAGCTTTCCTCCTACAGGCCAAAGCCATGCATGCTACTTAAATGGTAACTTTAAATTGTCCCTAAGTGTGAGTGATAGCAGGACCAGTCGTTTGTCTCCATGTAGCCTTAGGATGGATTTGTGACATGCCCAGGGAAGGTGTACCTGTCTTGCACACAGTGCCTGATGGAGATACGCACCAGCTTCCCTGTAAAAAGTGGGTTAAAAAACAACCCAGAATGGATGGATGGAGCGGGACTTTAAACTTGTACTGGCACTATGTGGACCCACTGCTCCTCTTCTGGCTTCAACTTCCTGGTTCCCATGTTTGGTCCAATATGTCTACTTGGTTAATATGATGAAAAAATATGTATGTATTAAATTAACTGTATGTATTAAATATGTATGTATTAAATTAAATGCATGTATTAAATTCTGGATTAGTCTCTTGTATTTTACAAGCATGAAACATGACAAATACCAAAGTTCATGCTCAATAATCCAGGTATAAATCCAACAATGTTCAGTCAGGTCATCTGGATGGTTTCTTTTGTTGCCGAGACGTTTCATCCGAAGGACTTCTTTAGTCTTAGAAGCCCACCAAACCAAACTGAATCCCACAAACGGCTCACTCCCGGAGTGAAAAACAAAACAAAACAGTTTGCTGGTGGCAAACTGGTTTGCTGTTTGCTCTTAAGACTGAAGAAGTCCTTCGGATGAAGGAAGAAACGTCTCAGCAACAAAAGAAACCGTCCAGATGACCTGACTGAACATTGTTGGAAACATGAAAATGTTTCAATTCTGCAAAGATCTTTGAAATTCAAAGAGCTTGGATTAAGTAACCAATAATCTCAGGAGGCAAGAAACATTTGTGCATCAAAGCTAAAGTGATCTTGAGCAAATCTAAGGTTAGCAACTCATTTTTTTTAATTAGCAAGGCTTGTCAAATTATGCACTTTTGCAATCTGTTTGGGTGTCCAGGTAACTCAAACTGATGCACTTAAAAGAGGACTAATTTGCCATTTCTGATCAATTATAATAAACAAACCTATTCTAACGTTTATTCTTTCCTGCTTTTCTGACTTTTGGATTTTATAAAACTTGAATAATTTAAACTTAGCAGTGGGGGACAAAACCAAAAAATGCTGCCAATGTGTCAGTTTTAGTAGAGGGTGTTGGTAAGAAGAGGGAAAACATTATTTTAATTACTTTTTAATTTCATTCCAATTTTGGGGGGCTTTACTACTGTCTGTGGGCTGATGCAAGTTGGACTTGGTTTTCAAAGTCTGATTGTTGACTAAGAATCAAAATGTTCAGGCTCCTTCAGGACTCGATACTTAAGATTCATCCACATTTTGCTCAGCCGTTTCTTGTTCGTCTAGCAGTTTCAGCTCCATGTAAATATGATTTAGTGTTATTTTAAAAGTGATTTTTAAATGAGACATTGAGGCAGCTTCTCCTCACTGTTTCTTCTTTTCTTTTTCGTTTGCGATGGAATCCAACAAAACAATGAGTAAAAAGAAAGCAACCATGTTTGACTAAACGTTACATAAATTATTGATCTACAACAATAACCTCTGTTCATGTTCTGTGTGAACAGTTGGGTCCGTCTATTGACGTGTAGAAACATTACCATAGAAAGTGAAAGGTTCAGCCATGCAGACAGGCCATTTAAACCTTACAAACAGTACAGATCACTTCCGTCGCTGAGGGATTTGAATAGTGAATGTTTGTAGTTTTCTTCAATATGAGTGTTTTTCTGCCTGGAATTGAACAGTTAAGACAAATAAACATTAATGTTTTGGTGCAAGAAATTCAAGTGGGTAGGAGATACAATGTGTAAGAACAGAGGTACTTTTTTATCTTTTGCTTGTCCGAGGCAAGAGGGACAGATCCTAGTGTGTGGAAGGAGCCATTTTATCCCTGAAATGCAAGGGCGGAGCCAGAGGGTGAACAATGGTGGCCTTGGCTACCATGAATTAATTTTCAGCCACCACAAGTGTCACCCCAATCATGTGTGGAAACTATCCTTTAGGGAAAAAAAACTAGAAAGTATGGTTTCCTCAAATGATTGGAGTGGTCGGTGTATATACATATATGGTGGTGGCCATCTTGGATTTTGACTTTGGAACCCAATTTCTGACGGTGAGCTTTTTTACTCCTAGGAGCAGCCACACACAAAAATGAAAGTCAACACATTGCTTATTTTTGAAGTTAGCCAGTTCACAAGATTTTGTATATATATGTAATGTATATATTGTGTGGATTGTGCCCCTTCTGTTCCTTTTGTGTGATTACCCCAGTTCCCTGCACCTATGAAGCTTCATAGGTGTTTTGTGTTTAGATCTCGTCAGTGTCTGTATTGAAGTGTGAGTCTGTTATTCCTTGTCAGAACCTTTCTTACACCTAGATACAGCTACACACCAAAATGGAGGTTGGTAACTCTTTTTTTTCAGTTATCATGCTCAAAACATGTATGGATGATATTTCCTATTCTCCCTATTTGCTCCATAACGGGGGACTTAAACCACTGTACAGAGGTGAAAAAAATGTGTCTGTATTGTTTGTTGGACCAAATTGTCAGTAAAGATTAGACCTTATCTAGACTTCTATCCAACATTTAACTCGTCATGAAAAGGTACATTAACCTGGATAAAGCAGACACTGACCCTGAAGCTGTACTTACTTAATGTAGTAGGGCACTTTGTTTGGCGAGATGGCACGCTCCCATGGTATCTGCACTGAACCTGTGCAAACACACACACACGCACACAGAGAAAAAAAAAAATCAATTTCAGATTGGGTATGTCATGCTTGAATTGCCATTCTGCTCCGTGTGCCCGACAGCGTGTCCAGACACAGTGTCCATTCAGACCTTCTTAACAGAGCTGCTGCTCTGTACAACAGGCGCAGCGAAGCCAAAGAAACGAGTTCATTGTGTGGGAGCTCCACACAGTGTTGGTTTGTTTAGCATAGCCTAATAGATTACAGGAAGGCAGTCAGTGGATCACTGTAGCAATAACACACCGCCAAAATGAACCACAAGAGGCGAGTTTCAGTGGAGAGAGGAAATACTGCACTTGGAGATCAGATGCTCACATGTCACAAGTTTAAATATTCAAATCACAGCAGAATTTTTTTTTTTTTTACCTTTTTTTAAATACACACATGATAAATTAAAGAAACAATTTAAAAGCCTAGCATTCATTGAAGGAATACATATACATGGTCATTCATGCCAGAGTTTTAAACTCTTTTCTCACCTTATGATGAGAAATGACAGTTGTAGTGCTGTTAGTGCTTGGAGTATGTGTTGAAAATGACTCTCAGCTACTACCACACCAAATGTAGCTCAATTTCTGCTAAATCAAATGTTATTAAGGATTTCATGTCAATAAGCTGCAGCAGCCATCTTGATCTAAATTGGCTGCAAAAGTAAATGAGTTGTACATAGATCCAGTCATTACATTCGATAATGTCATTAAATTATTTAAAGTCATGAGAAATTTGGCAGACAAACTGGGCTGATGCCAAATATTTAAGCAAACATGTTGTAAAAATGTTAATGCTCAGAATATATGTTGGGGATGACTCTCAGCTACAAACACACCAAATGAAGTTTAATTCAGCTTCCTTGTGCAAATTTAAACATTTTCTCAGCTACTTGCAGATAATTTCAGCTGTTTGTTCAGCTGTTTTGTGATCCTTTCAGATTCTTTCTACTAACTGCAACATTTGTGATTCGTCCAACTTCTTTCTGCTCATTTCAAATTATTTCTGCAAGTTTCAGCTTTTTCAGCTACTATTGAGCTGTTTTATGTTAATTTTAGCTTTTCAGCCAATTCCACATTTGTTGTACTCATTTAAACTTTTTTTTCAGCCTAATTAAGCAAAAATGTGTTCTCTCCACTTCCTTTTGGTAATTTCAGCTTCTTTCTGCCTTTTTAGCTACTTTTCAGCTGAATTTTGTTAATTTAAGCTTTTTGCAAATAATTTCCAAATATTAGTTCATTTTTGCATTTTTCTTTCCAGCCTATTTGGGTAAACGTGTGTTCTTTCTGCTTTCTTATGCTAATTTAAGCTTGTTCTACCTTTTCAAATAACTTTTTAGCTAATTTTAGCTGTTTACAGATAGATTAAAGCTTTTCATGGTAACATATGACACTTTCAGCCTAATGAACTTTCTGCTAATTTCAGCTTGTTATTCTTCTTTCAGCTTTTTTCTGATAGTTTCATCTTTTTCTGCTATTTCAGCTACTTTTTAGCTGTTTTTCTGCCAAATTTAGCTTTTTCAGCTAATTCCACATTTTTTAGCTCATTTCAGCTCATTCCAGTTCTTTCTGGTACTTTAAGCTAGTTTTTTTTTTTTTTTTTTTTTTCAAATTTCAGATTTTTTAGCTAATTTCCTAATTTTTGTGCTCATTCCTGCATATTTAAACACAATTCAGCAAATATGTGTTCTTTCTGCTTTTTTCTGCTAACTTGGGCTTGTTCTTCTATTTCAGCTACATTTCAGCATGTTTTTAACCAATTTAGCTGTTTTTCAGCAATTTCTTCAATATGCATTCACACTGCATTTTGCAGGAAATGCAATTCCTCTAATTGCCTTTGCATTCTGAGGCAAGTGATAAAAAGCATCAAACTGAATAAAAATACCCAACTTTAACCTCAATTTCTAATCATTTTAATTGTTCAAGCATCTTTGCGTTACATAAAGCCACAGTGTGAATTATAGATATAACGCCACAAATGTAAACCCAGATTATCAGGAAGCTAAATCAGGATAATATGTGAAGTCGCTCTAAATAAAGCTCAGAGTGGCAACTCTGATCAACTTCATACCAAAAATGGATGCAGAATAACAGAAGCAGACACTCCCACTTCAGATGCATAAAAAGTCCTGCAACATACAGCACTTATATTTCATCATCACTTTGAATCAAGTCATTTTCAGCTTCAGAGTAACAGCAAGTAAAAAGAATTCATAAATATGGGTTTCTGTTCAAATGAGGGCCAGAAGACAGAGGAACGATGCTTCTTCTCCAACCCAAATGCACATACGGACTCTTAAAACACACACACTCAAAATCAACATTACACACACACTAACACCCGGGACTCTTTGAGGCGGCACCTTGGCACAGCATGGCACAGACCCAAGGAACCGACTTCAAATAGAAGACGACGACTTACTGGAAAGGAAGTGCTGCGATCCAGGGCCAAAGTCTCTATGTGCATCCTGGAGCTGCTTCAGCCGCTCCTCGATGGAACCCTGAGGACGCACACAAGCACACGTGCGACGTTAAATCAAAGAGAACCCCGCTGTTCGTCGCTCCCTATCACAAAGCCCACTCTCTCATACACACACGGCCTGCCTCTGCAACAGCAGTTACCTGCTGAATATAAATGATGTCTTTGTTTTTCCTTACCACCCCAGCGCTTGAAGGACTTTGAAAGCACATGTAGAGCAGCAGGTAAAAAAAAAGGAGAGATTACGAAATAATTTATTTTGTGAAAAGGAGGACGATGTATGGTTGAAGCATCTGTGTGGAAAGGAGCCGAAGGGGGGGAAAAAAAAGCTGAAACTGGGGAGGAGAAGGAGTTTGATAAACCTCAAACATCGCTGGATGCTGAGTTGACAAAATTAAGTTTGCCGCTGGCTTCATAGAAACCTCTTCCATCTGGTACGCTTCCCACCAAATGGGATTTCGTCTGGTAAATCCTGGTTTATTTGAAAAGTATTGGATTTGGCGCATGCATCCCTGTCAGCTGGATGTTGAAATACTTCCTCAGACAACGGGAGGTAAATCCACTCACTGTGAGGTGAACAGACACACACAGAGCAAAACGAGCAACACTTCTCAGGGCTTCAGTGCTCCCCCACCAGAAAATTAAAAAAATACAATCTGCAGAATAATTGAAATTGTTTGAGACCAATAAAGAGCACTGTCAATGTGCCGTGAAGACGTTACAGCCAGCTTTGCCGTGTTGTACAATCCATTCGTTATCCAGGCAATTTGAGCTGCCATAAGGAAGACAAATGACTAAATTATCCACCAACGGCAAATATTAGCAAATCAAATTTGGAAAGCTTAGAGTAACCGAAAAATAGCACACAAGATGCTCCTACATTTTACTATTTATTTTAATTAAGATAAAATGGGGACAAAGATAAAAATGTTTTTTCTACTCTTCTGGCATCTGGAGTATGTGAATAGTTTTCAACTGATATAGGCTGAATTTCTCTTAAATTATTTGTAACACTCCTTTATTCTTAAGACTCAACAGGGAACCTGAGTGCGATCCCAAACCCAGGAGATGTGAACTGACTCTGGACACCAACAGCTTTTTTGACATATTGATCATCAAGAAACGTTAGTCTTTAATTTACATCCTGAACTGAAGCCCAGAGGAGTCTCGGGACCAACTGTCGCACCGACAGAGCAGGACTTGTTCTAAAAACAACACAAATATTCTTCTTGAGCTCCAAAAGTTCAAGTTCTGTTTGTTTAAATTAACCAATTTACTAAAGAAATTACATTTCCTGCGAAAATACAGTGTGAATGCTTATTGCAGAAGAACTTGCTGAAAAACAACTGAAATTAGCTAAAAACATGCTGAAATATATCGTAGCTCAAATGGAAGAACAAGCCTAAGTTAGTAGAAAAAAGAATGAACACATATTTGCTGAATTAGGTTTAAATAAGCAGCCATTAGCATAAAATTAGTAAATCTGCTAAAAAAAAAAAGTTTAAATGAGCAAAAATTAGCTGAAAAGGCATAAAAAGTTTAAACTACCAAAAGGAAGCAGAAATAGCTGAAATGATCCCAAACATGTGGAATTAGTTGAAAAAGATTAAATTTGCATAACACAGCTAATTAGTAGCTTAAATAGCAGAAAAAGCTGAAAGTAGCAGAACTAACTTGAAAGAAGCATAACAAACACATTTACCAGAGAAAAGTTAATTAGGTTGACAGTAGCAGAAATTACCACGAAAAACTTGAATTTATCTGAAAATGGCTTAAACTAGCTAAAATGCTAGCTGAGAAGGAAGATGAAGCTTAAATTAGCAGAAACAGAAAGAACATGTTTGTCCAGTTAGGTTTAAAGAAGCAGAAATGTGCATTAAAATGTGGAAATTATCTGATAAAAGCAAGAATATGCAAAAAATAAAATGGCTGAAAAGTAGCTAAAAGAAATCAGAATAAAGCTTAAACTACCAGAAGGAAGTGGAGAGCACATTTTTTTTTCTGAATTAGGTTGATAAAAGTTGAAATTAATGCAAAAAAAATGGAATTAGCTGAAAAATCTAGAATTAGCATAAAACAGCTAAATAGTAGCCAAAATAACAGAAAAGCTGAAACTTGCATAAATAAGCTGAAAGGAGCACAACAAGCTGAAAGGAGCAGAAAGAAGTTAGAAGAAGCACAAAAATGTTCTAGATAGCAGAAAGAATCTGAAAGGAGCACCAAACAGCTGAAAAGAACGGCTCAAATTAGCTGAAAGTAGCTGATTATTTTTTTTTAATTGGTACAAGGAAGCTGAAAGAAGCGGAACCAGAAGGAGCAGTAAGAGGTTGTAAACAGATCTAAAGATTTGAAGGATGTAAAATGAGCTCAATTTATTTTCTGAGGGCAAAAACAGTGTCAGAAAAGGCTAAATATTTCAAAAAGCTAAAGTTGCACCAATACCAAAAGTCATAGCAGGATTGTACTGAACGAGCTGAATGTTTTAATATATGACTTATTAAAATAGCACAAAAATTGTAGGATGACAAAGATGCTGAAAAATGGACCTCAGCGGTGTGAATGCTTAAAATCCCTTCATAAAACGCAGGTTTGACTCAAAATGTCATTAAAACAGTCTCAAATTGTGCTTTGCACTCTGATCCTCATACTGGTTAACTTCCAGATATTATATTTAAAATAAATGTGAACCACTAGATTGTAAAAAAAAAAGAAGTTCCATTTTATTTTACCTCATTACATTCAGCACATTAAATCTACTTTACAATAACTGCATAAGGCATTAAAGCAAAGGGCACTTGAGCCTGAACAATTGAGCAGTAAAGCTGTAACAAAACCTTTTTATATTGTTAAATATCATAAAACATTGTTAGCATTCCAACCATACATAATAAGTCATGCTAAAGATCAAATTAACTTGCTAATTTAAAAGGCTTCTGTACTATCAACAAAATAACTCTTTAGTTTGTTTTAGGCCAACTTTAATCTAAACTATAAAACTGTTTTAGTCTAAACTTTATGGTGCTATACACAACTTCATGCAAGATCTTATGTTTCGAAATAGTGTCTTGTGGCTCCTGCAAAACTGGACTGACCTCATCCTGCAGCGCTCAGTTCAGCAGCCTGAAGGCCTCTACTTCAGTGGGCCTCGACAAAAAAAAAACAATCCAGCATTGTGCCACTGCTGAACCTTTTCTGAGCCACAGACGTGACTCAGAAGCAGAACAGAGTCGCGCTGCAAAGTGGATGCTGGAAATGAATTTCTCTGGATTGTTCGATATCTAAATTATGTTCAGAGTAGAGAGAGACCAAGAGGAGGAAAGTATGCACCAGCAAATAAAGCAACATGTCATGAAGGTTATCTAATGGGAACAGGATGCTCTGACATGAGCTGAGTGGTTTATTTTGCTCGTCGGGGCAGCGGTGTGCTGATGGTGGGTGGTGCCGATGCTCAGCGGATGGAGCATCTAGACATTTAGCTGTGCACTAACAGGAGGGCAAGTTCAGTTCATTGTTTAAAAGGCTTTAAGACTAAGTGCCTTAAATTCATTGACGTACAGCCCCTCTAATGTAAGCACGAGGGTTCACATTTGTCAGTGGAACATATACGCTGCTAATCTCTGGCTGTACATGCTAAAGGGCTTCTGTTAGAGTCACATCTGTGGAGCACACGTCTCGTTCATTAAAGACTGGGATCACGTTTGCTTCATGACGTGCATGATCCTGCTGGCAGACTGTTGTCATAAAGAGATGTGTGTAGTCAGCAACACGCTCAATGGGTTCAGTCAATGATTTATTGTGATAAAAAGAAAAAATGTAAAAATGTGCCACTTTTAAATTTTTTTATTTTTATTTTTTACAGATGATAAGTGACAATGCATGAAACCCGACATTTTAACTGATTTTCTTTACATTCTCAGTATATAACCTTGCTTTTAACACTAGGTGACCCCCCCCAAGCACACACACTGGACTACAGACCAGTGGGGGTCAAGGTCAAGGTTCTTCATTGTCATTCGCATCGCATGTGGTACATGTGGTGGAACAAAATTGTGTACTCAAAGTCCCAGTTACATCCAACAAAAGTATAAAATGTCAAAGAAAAACAGTAATAAGATCTAAGATATGACTAACTAAACTAAAAATACGCTAAACACAAATAGTACAAATACAATACGCAGAACAACAGCAGCAGGAACATGAGTCTGTGCAAGTAGGTGAGTACGAATGAACACAGCAGCATGAAATAAATCAGCAGCATGAGATCAGCATCATGGATAGTCAGCAGCACATATCAACAATCAAGTGGCATTACAGTGATTTTTTTCCCCACAGTGATTATCATAGGGATTCATGAGTCTAACAGCTTCAAGGTAGAAGCTGTTCCTCAGCCTAGTGGTTCTACACTTTATGCTCTTCAACATTCTGCCTGATGGGAGTGGGGCAAAACGTGTGTGTGCTGGGTGAGTGGGGTCCTTCATGATGCAGGTGGCCCTCCTCCTGCATGTTGGGACCCCCGGGGTTCCCCAAAAAATAAGTAAAAAAATCAATCGGCATCAATCGGTTTACAAATTAAGCCCTGTTATTTAGTATGACTTCAGATGTTCTGTTCAGTTTCATGTAAAGCGTTTTCTGTAATAATTTGAAAACGTGGCAATACATTTATTATGCTCATTATGTGATTAGGTAAAGTTTTAAAGTGGTTTTTGATACTAATTTGATCAAAACTGTCATTTTTGGAAGTTGAAATTAAAAATCTTGTTTATTAAATGTGTCTTGAATCAAAAATACCCCATGTTTAAAAGTATAACAATTGTATTAACAATTTTAAAGAACAGGTCTTAAGTATTTATGTCACACAAATATTTCCATTGCATTAAAGAGACAAATTTAAGAAAATTATTTAACAAACATGAGGGTCATGAGGTGGTCCCTGAAACTTTTTCTCCCCTGTAAGGGGTCCCTGAACCCAAAAAGTTTCAGAACCCCTGTTCTAGATGACTTTAAAGACACGCACAACATGCAAGTGATTAAAACGATTAAAAGCAACAATGTAACGTGCATCTCGAGATCACAAATGTGAAACTATTTGGCTGCTGTTTTATGTAGACGATGCTTTGAAACGCACTTTAATTAAAGCTTTTCATGCATCTTTTTGACAACCGTTATAAGTCTGAAATAATTTCTATATCATCATGAAACATTAAAATTAACATTAGGTTTCTGTCAGGGGAAATCAGCATATTATGCAGAAAAAGGAGAATGGGTGACAATTTGATTTTATACTCAAAGCAAATTGTTTTAAACAATATGAGATAGATAGATAGATAGATAGATAGATAGATAGATAGATAGATAGATAGATAGAT